AAAAATCAAACAAATATATATTACCAGCTGTCATCAAAAGGTTTGCAGGGGAATTTAAAATGTAATTTTTTTTTGAGAATTGAGGATAAAAAGGTTTAGGATTTCTAGTATTAATATTATTTATTTTTAAATTAATTAATGATAGGAGTTCCGGACAATCAATGAGTCCTAATAATAATTTATGTAAAAATTTTGAAATCAAAAGCATTCGACGTTCTTTGAGTGTATTAAAATTAAGGTAATTAAGAATGCTGTCATAAGAGCTATGGGGAGGTCTGTGTATGTTAAATTTAAATGAAATAAAACGGAGAAAATTATTTTGAACAGATTCTAGTGCGGTGTTTTGTTTAGAAGTATTGTTTAACCAAATTAGAGGACAGTATTCAAGATGGGAACGTACAAGGGAATAAAACAGAATTTTTAGAGGAACAGGATCTATAAATGAGCCACAAGTGCGTTTAATAAATCCCAAATTACGCATAGCTTTATTTCTTATCATTTCTGTGTGAGGGGAGAAATTTAATTTAGAATCAAAAATAACGCCTAAATCTTTAAATTGAGAAACTAGCTCGATATTTATATTGGAAATAGAATAACAATAATTAATTGGGGTTTTTATTAGATAAAAGTACATAAATTTACATTTATCCACATTTAAAAATAAGTGATTTTTATTACACCATGTGAGTAAGTTATTAATATCTGATTGTAAACAAATTGCATCTTGTTCAGATTTAATTATTTTTATTAATTTAGCATCATCAGCAAACATAAGGATATTAGAGTTCATTATAACATTAGGCAGGTCATTAATAAAAATATTAAATAGAAGTGTAGACAGGTGGTCTCCTTGAGGAACGCCTGAAGGGACTGGGAAAAGTGACGATTTGAATTTGAGGTATTTAACAATTTGGGAACGGTCTGAAAGAAAAGATTGGAACCATTTAAGAAGTGATCCAGAGAAACCAAAAGATTGTAATTTTTTAATAAGTAATACATGATTAACTTGGTCGAAGGCTTTGGAAAAATCAGTGTATATTATATCAGTTTGAGCATTAGATTCAAATGACTGAAGTATTAAGTTTTTTGTTATGGCTAAATTATTACATGTTGAGCGTTTTGGTATAAAACCGAATTGATTATTTACTAGGACTGAGGAGCAAAAATTGTTAAGTTTAGATGAAATTAAGTGAGAGAATAACTTTGGGATTGATGATAATTTTGAGATTGGGCGATAATTTGAAATTAGTGAAGGATTACCCTTTTTTAAAATAGGTGAAATAAACGACGTTTTCCAAAAAGATGGATAGGTACCACTAGCGAGGGATAAATTAAAAATACTAGTTAATATCGGTGTTAGGATAAATCTACAATTATAAAGGAAAATAGTAGGTATCTCATCTGGGCCTGCAGTTGAACTTAATTTTAGGTCAGAAATCATATTAAAAACCTCTAGTTCAGTAACAGTAATGGAATTTAAATTTAAAGTAGAATTTAAATTAGGGTTATCTACATTTAAAGTGGGGGAATTAAATGTTTGAGATGAATTACAATAGGCATCAGAGAAGTATTTACTAAAAAGCTCAACGATATCAGCACCATTTTCGGCAACTGATCCATTTAAGGAAAGAGAGCAAGGTAGAGCATCATTATTGGTTAAATAATTAATAAATTTCCAAAAATATTTTGGATTCTGTTTAATCGAAAACTGGACTTTATTTATGTAGTTTTTGTGATCTAATTTAGCATTTCTTTTGCATTTAGCTCTAAGACGGGAGAAATTAATATAATCTGACATTTTGTTAGATTGTTTATAAACAAGGTGAGCAATTTTTTTTTCTTTTACTAATAATTTAAGCGAATTGGAGTACCAAGAAGGATATGAATTATTATATATACATTTTATAGGGACATAATTATTGATTGCTTCGTACAAAATATGGTAAAACTGAACAACTGTTTCATTTATATTATAGGATTTTAAATCAATAGTGGAGAGTGAATCACCAATAAATTTAACAATTTCGATGTAATCACAATTATTAAAATCATAAATTAAATCATGTGTAGTTTTTAAGATTTCATATTGTTCACAATTTAGTGATATATTAAGAGCCGGGTGGTGTTTATCAATCGGAATTAACGGATCAGGGTCATTATTGACGGTTATGTAAGCATTAGATAGGACTAGATCAAGAATGACATTGCTGTGATTGCGTATAAAATTAAATTGATTAAAATTATAGTGTGATAGCATGCTAACAAAATAAGAATCGATTTGAGAATTACAAATTAATGGTAAAGAATAAAATGACCAATCTAATAAGGGTAAATTAAAATCACCTAATAATATAAATTTGGCTTTAGGATTAGATAAGTAAAGTTCATTAATAGATAGGAAAAATTGTTCATAAAGAGTAAGAGGTGAATTGGGCGGGATATAAATACAGCAAATAATAAATATATTAGCTCCTAGTTGAACTTGAATAAAAATCTGCTCAATACATTTAACAGTAACATTTAAAATTTTACAAATTATATGAGATTTAACAGCAATAAGTACTCCACCACCCTTAGATAAATTACTTGTGAGAACATTTCTGTCACATCGAAAAACATTATAATTTTTAATGCCTAATTCCGAAGAATTTAAATTATTTGTGAGCCTTGTTTCAGTAAAGGTAAAAATATCTAAAGATGACAATGGAATAAATGAATTTAATTTGGTATTTATACCACGAACATTTTGATAATATATTAATAAAGTACATGAAGTGCGATTTAGTTTTTTGGATTATTAATAATGGTTGGGTTACCTTTAATATATTTAATAATAATATTTTGTTCACCATTGTTGCGACGAGATTTGAGTTCTTGCCGTAGTTTTAACATCTGATCACGCTGTTTCATAGTGCAATCCAAAGAGAATCTTATTTCTTTAAATTGATTTGAGAAACGGATTTTGGATTGCGCTCGTAAAATGTCAAATACATTTTTAGTATCGTTGAACGTTTATTTATATTTAAATCCATCTTTAGGCAGATACTGTGACATGGCCCATCCGTATCTAATAAGTATTACACAAATAAATTACTAATGTAAAACTATAATTATTATTAAAAAAATATTAAATAAAATTTACTTAAAAATTTGTAGCGTCAAGATATATGATCCAGTTATCCGGCTTACTAATATCATAGCTAGAAAGTCCTTTATGATTAGCTTCCGAATATCGGCGTACTGCCGTTGTCAAACCTCCTCTAATTCCCTGCTCCAACATCATGAGCATGTCATAATCGTGTAATAGCTCGAGCTCAATATTTGTATGTTTCAACATACAATCAAAAGACATGCCGGGTGCGGTGTAATAGTAATTAGGGTCAAATCCATAAGTTTTTAGGCAAAGGTCTCTAAAAGACTCAAACACGTCACATAATAACAACACGTCCAACTTCAAATACCAGTAGTCTATATTGTCCTAACGTTGTACACTTAAAATGTTTCCAAAATTTCTGAGCATGTTGATAGTCCTCTTCAGTTATATTACTCTCATTTAAAGAATTATAAAACTCATTTATAGATGGTAGCGATGTTTCGTTAAGTTTCTCAAATGAGTCTGTATACTCGTAAGGGTAAACACCTTTACGGGTAATAAGACTGATATCTGAATTTGGAAAATGTTTTTTAGTATCTTTAAATTATCCTACATCCCCTTTGGCTAAATTTTCGACTAGTTTTGATAAACTTGACGCCATGAACCTGTTGCTGTCAACAAATCTTATTTTGAAGGCTTTCGCCACATATTTTGAAAAAGAAATAAATTTTTCTTCACTGTTAGGTATAACAGTTATGGGTTTATCGTCGTATCCAAGCTGTGTTACAATGAAATGACCGTCATAGTTGGATAAGTTGTGAAAAAAGCAGGGGACAAATTTAGGAGACTTTAACTTTAAGTTACATTCATTACAAATTGTTTTTTTGTACTTGGATGTTAAATGATCATGATCGCGAACTGGGTAATTATTTATAGAGAACTTAACATTGCATAAAGGACACACACCGCGTTTTACTATATCATTATGTTTCTTCGCGTCAGCTTGCTTAAAAGTCATGGGCAAGTTGACTTGTAACATTTGAGATATATTTCGAGCCACTTCCACAATTTCTTGAACGAAATGTTTAGCTACCGCACCCTTTTCTCCATGACCGTCCCCTCTGAACAACACTGGATACGTTGGAATTGAAAACTGTTCGAGTAATGATGTTGGTATATCGTCTCTAACCTTAACATAATAACAATAACTCATAGGCTCATGATCATGCGTTATCTGTGTATTCTTCTCCAGTGATTCTTCGGACTTGTGTTTGAACAAAACAGCTTCAAAATCAGCGTATATGACAACAGGATGACGTTCAGTGTTACCCCAATTTTCAAATTTGGTGACTGTATCTGGTTCAGGCATAACAGGAGTTATAGACTCGTTAACTCTACAACGTTCTTTATGCTGACGTAGGAGCTCTTCTTTGCTAGGTTTGTTTGGTTTGGAAGTATAAGTTTTAAAACATCTTCTACATATTACGGTTTTTTAATGAAACAAAGTCATTGATGATTGCACCAGCTTGGCTAGATCTGTTATATAACAGTAATGTCTAAGACCTTCCTCATTTGATATCATTAAAAGATCGAAATGATCGAGGTTTTCTTCTTTACACACTCTTAAAGGTATAACAATATTTTTTTCTACTTGAGGTCTAATTTTTTTTGTTTTATTTTTATACGTTGCAAAACCTTTTTTCAGTCCATATATGTTCACAGATACGTCAGGGTTTTGTTTTTCAAATTTTACAATTTCTTCGAGTGACATGGGCATGGTAAGTCCTGAAAAATTATACCTATGTCCATGCTCTTCAAAATGTTTCTGCTGAACAGTTATACGAAATGCGTTTACTGGGTTTATAGATTTAGACATTATACTGTAAATAAAACAATTGTTATCTTCATTTTTTACATTGATAGTTGCATGCTTACTTTCAATTTCTTTAGGAAGCGATAAATAACTACCAAAAGGCATGTATTTGTCAGTGTACAATAAAATACCATCAATCCGTTCTAACGTATAACCACTACCTTTACCTAAATATTCTTCTTGCTCTAGTAACAGTTTAGTGAAATCTTCATTCAGAAACTCTTCAATAGGACATGATATGAACAAACTTCGTGATGTAGTTTTAAAAGACCTATTTTCCACAGATTCAGCTTTATTCGGAATAACATAAGTAGACTCTAGTTTTAAACTGTACTTAATAGGACTGTCGGTTAAGAGACGTTTAAGCAAAGCAATTAATTCAGGCTGTGCTTCCTCCAAAAACACTCCATAATTAAGAATACGTTTTAAATTCTTTTTGTAAAATGTCTTATGTAACCCTCCAAACGCCTGTTGTATTAAACTAAAACTACTAGTATTTATATTGTTTATTCTATATTTCTTTGTATGCTTTTCCCTAGATTCTGCTTGTTAACAAAGGCTATTTGCTTCATTATCACCCCAACAATCGTCAAAGGGATGTTTTCTTTTTTCACCTGATAAATAATTGGAATTTTTTAGATAATATATTTTGTATAACATTAACTGAGTGTAAATAATAATATTTGAAATTTTTTTTGAAAAAATTGTGCATAATGTTTGAGCAACTAGTAGTATTTACTACACTTAATAATAATACTTAATTAATAATAAAATAATATAGTAAAAAAAAAAAAAAAATTAGCTTTTAAATTATAAATGTTTTTATAAAAATTCTTAAAATTATGAAAACTCGGTCATGAAGTTTAGACGAATTGTAATATTTACTGTGCTTAATAATAATAAAGGAATTTTTCTTACCTTTATTTACGTTAGTTGAAGTCGATGGTTTACAATTATGTATAGTAATACTTTGCAACGGTTTATTAATATTAAGGTTTACGTCGTTTCTTTTAGTTACATTTAATTTGACACGACTTACGTCGCAAAAATGTGGTCGACACTGGTTTTGATGGTAGAGACCCGTGGGCCGTTTATTAAATGAGCATAATATCGCGGCACTTTCGCTGGCGTCGACGACGCGATGTCCGGCGTAAACCTTGAACGGCAAAATGGTTAGCAGCGTTGTAGGCGACGGTGCGCGAGTGCGGTTCGGTTGGTCGGCGTTGTCGCTTTCACAACGGGAGGAAGACTCACGCACCATTTTCGGCGGGTCGTCGTCAGCCGTGCGGCATTTGCTGGACTTTGCACCGTAGCGTATAACACGCGGTGTTGGTCAGTCAAATACTCATAGTAGGGCGACGGCTGATAAAGGTGGCACGAGTCGCGGGGCATCGTGTATAACGAAGCGACGCGGGCCGTGTCAAATTGTACTGGTCGGGTTTCATCTATAAAGTGTGATTATATTAACACAAAATATTGCTTAATTAAATTTTATGTTTAATAATATCTTGAAAAATGACTTACCATGTAACAGTTTCTGGTGTCTTATTAAAACGCTCTTTCTTGTAAATTTTTTTGCACAAGCATTACAACTAAACCGCACATCACTATGAATTTTTTTATGTTGATTAAGGTTACTTACAGTTGAAAATATTTTACTACAAGTATTAAATTGATTCATTTTTAAAGATTTTGGAAAAATACACAATAAAGCGAATTCAAATTGCAGTAAAATGTATAAATTGATTCAAGTACAGCTAATAATAAATGTTAACTAAACGAGTTACGAAACAGGAATGACACTTGTACAAAATGTTAAATGCCTTATCGAGTAATTCTTACCTATAAATTTTTGTCCCTTTCCCTGTCCTTTTAGACTCCTCACTTAACTAACTAAGTATGGTATTTTGCAAAGGTATAACATATAGTATCATTAACTAATGTGCATGCGTTAATGCATTGACTTATTAGTATAAGTTTCTTTATAGCATACCCAAAAGTAAAAGAATTTGATTAATATTAAGACTAATCATAATGTTATACCATTCTTGCTCTATTAAAAATGTATTCGTAGTTACATTTTAAACTAGAGAATTCATTTTATTAACGTTAAATTACAATTAGTAATAATCAATTAATCTACACATTAAAAAAAAAAGTCTATTAACAAACATTATTAAGTTACAGTAATGTAACTTAATAATCAAAATTAATTTAATAAAATATTATTTCTAACGTATAAATATTTTCTCTTTAATTACAAAATAACTGAATTCTTATGAAATAGTAAAATATTGCACATATTTATTTATTTACTTTAATATCATAATAATGATCACCTTATGAGTTTTATCATCGCCTCCCCTTCTATGTAGGGGTAAATAGTTGGTCTGCTGTTTTAATACATACTTGAGTCAAGGAAGGGAGACCCTCTATGACCAATACACGTCATAGTTGGGTTTCGTTGGGTTAATATGCCGCCGCTTGCCCCGAAGCAATGCCTCACGGCAGTTCCGGGGCGGTCCACATGAGGTCGAAAGGGAGGAGGAAAAAAAAAAAAAAAAAAAAAAAAAAAAAATATGCCGCCGCTCGATTGCACCTTTCACTTTTCACATTGCACATTGCACATTGTACATTGCACATTGTACATTGCACATTGCACATTATGTTAAAAGATATATACTATATCTACTTAAATATTATTTAAATACATGAATATTTTAATATTGTATAATAACTATAAAATAGTCCCGTTATCACAATTTTTATTTTTTATAAGTTATTATGCATTATCTAGTTAAAAGTAAGATAGCAAATTGTAAATTTGTAGAATTTTTAGCAACGTTTTTATTCTATAAATTAGGTTAACTTAAATTAATTTTGATTGTAAAATAAATTTAAACACATAAAAAATTTATATATTCATTTCTATTCAATAACAATGCATAATCATAAGTCTAACTTTGTAACCTAACAATAACATATAAATTTACCCTACGAAATGTAAATAAAAGCAAAAATCTTGTAGTGGTAACGAACTTCGAGAACAACAGAATAAGTCGTAGGAGGCAATTATAATATATACTATGAATATCACCACTATCAATTAAAACGAATACCACAACTAATTACGTAAGAAAACAACAATTTAAGAACGCATGAAGATACAAGATTACAAGAAGTTTCGTGAACATAACAAGGTTCCAGCCCTAATTTTAAAGAGAACCATAACTTAAAAGTTTAAAAAGCATTATTAGACAAATTTTTTTTTTCTTCTTTTNAGTTTAAAAAGCATTATTAGACAAATTTTTTTTTTCCTCTTTCTTTTCTCTTTTTCTTAATATTTTGACCTTTTATAAGGTTCAGAGTCGAACCTTTAATAGGGGAGAGGGTAATGTAAGAACATTTATTACTATGTTCTTACCACTTATATTACACACGTTTTATTTCTATTTATTTAATTCGTAATACATATTAATTAGCATAGAGGGAGATGCTGATGTGACAATTCTACTCGTCTGTAGTCCGGAGCTACTGACGTCGAACTAACAAAGGGCAGTTGTGTTTGAGTGGCCGTTATAGACATAGTTTTCAATATTATAACTTTCGTCTTATTTATATTATTTATAACTTTACTTGTTTTATTCAACGACCCGTCTATGGCCAATTGTCATCATAGCCAACCAACTCCGTCTCACTTGGATATCTTTACTAACCAACTGTACTAGGATTCAGGTCAGACGTATTGTACATTACATATAACTTATATTTACTGAACATCTAAATATAACTTTACTTAGTCGTTGACATAAAATAATAGTCTAATTTTATTTAATAATCTATCCCCTGTAACTAAGGTACACGATTGCATGTGTCTCCTTCAGGCAATTAAAACTCATTTAAGGAGATAGGGACGATATTTGGGCAGACGTCGGGTAGCTTCCGATTCTTGGTTTTGACCAAGATCCTCAACTATTAAACAAGCCCCTAACAATACATACAAAATATATTTCGAAAATCGAATGGTATAAAAGGATTTTGCGGCATGATAACTAAAATAAAAAATAATAACTTAATTTAGAAAAAAATATCTAGACTTATTTACCGTTATTCAATAATTATGATAAAACGAATTTTTATTTATTGAAAAATAACTTTTTACGCCAAATAAATTATTAGTAAAAAAAATTAAATTTTACTCTTGGTTAATAATCAACTTATAATACTAAAATAACAATTTAAAGAACTTACATTATTTATTTATTCCTCAAAATGCAGTTGATGCAACAAGTATTCGTTACAGTATAAGTTTTCCGTTCGTCGAAATGCAATTGAAACAGCAAGTAATCGCTAGTGAATATAAAATCTGAAATAATTAGTATTTTATTATAATATTCTTTGTAAATTAAGACTATAAAATGTTATAATGTAAATTTATATAATATGAATTCCAATAAGTTTACAAAAATAAAAAACATTTGATTTTAATTAATTTGATAATATAAAACTTTTATTTTTTTAAATCTATTAAGACATTAAAAATAGTATATATATATATATATATATAATTACAATAATTAATATTATACTTACAGTTTAATTTTTATCAAACGAAAAATGTAACTACAAC